TCATATTTTTCTCTTTTTCATTCTTCTTTATCAACTACTCCAATTCTCTTTATTGTCTATTTTATTATTTTTTTTTTCATGAATTGTTTATTTCAAATAAACAAACATTAAATTTCATTAATAAATCATATGCATTTTGTGAATTTATCCCTTTAATCATTGATAATGCATTTATTATTTGTGTTCTTTCATTTATTTGATTAGTTAATTCATTTTGATTATTCTCTATAACACTAAATTCTTCAATATAATGAGCAGCATCAGAATAACTTTGTGCAATAATTAATGTACATTTTTTATTAAATAATTTTATATTGATGTCTTGTATTATTTCTTCTTTTATTTCATTCTTTTGACAATCTATAACAAATAATACAATATTTAAATATTCATTACTTTCTTCAATTAATGGAAGAATACATTCTTCAAGGTATTTTATGTTTGTACTATGATATTTGTATGTCAAATAAAATATTTTATTCATATTTCCAACAATAAAATCCCCTTGTTTAATTCTTGAATCATATTCAATTCTCTTTCTAATAAAACTTATCAATTTATAATTCTTCTTTTGAATAGGATTAGCTTTAATATCATATTTTGTTTGTTTGTTTATGGGATATCTTTTATTCATTTCGATTTTATTGTTTGTATTTAAAAAAAAAATAATAAATTTAATATTTTTTTTTTCTTTTTTAAATGATTTATTATCAAATAAACATCTACTTCTTATCATCATTCAAATCTGATCAATAATTCGAATAGATTTGTTTTGGTACTATAAAATTATAAGTTATGGTATTTAAAGAAAAAAAAAAGAGAACAAACATTGTGTTTTCAAATATAAAATTGTTGGATAATCAGAATATTTTATTCCATCTAATCCACATAAATCATTAATTGATATCCTAGCATATCCCATTTCTCCCCATGAATTCCCCCATGAATTTCTAATAATGATATATTTCTCTTGATTTTCTTCTCCATATCCAACAACAATGATTGCATGATTAAGTGTTGGAACAACAGGACAATTTAAATGTAATATCCCACCTGAATATTTTCGTAATTGATCATTACTATAAATCATTCCAATAAATGGTCCATGTTCAATGAGTAAAACTTTTATTTGTTCAAAGCTAATTGATCCAATCACTTCTTTATAATCACTAATATGTATTCTTGTTCTTCTTCCTCTAATACACTCTTTTTTGTAATTGTTTGTTGAATTCCCATTGATAGTAATCAATCGGTATGGATATTCAATTTCTGAAACAAAATATTGAAGAGATTCTAAGACACTTGTAGGCCATCCTCCACTACATCCATTGTTA